GCACCTGGCAACTGCCACTAAGTAGGCACCTGCTGCTGGCCCCCACAGCCAAATGTGTGCACACCACCAGCTCTGGATAGCATCCCTACCTGCAGTGGTCCCTACCTACTGGATCTGGAGGCACAGCTGAGAAACCCAATAGCCCTTGCAGCCACTATGGACACGTGGTAGCATTCACCAAGAACCACACATTTGCAAGGCTGTGGACCCAGTGGCCTGAGTTGAAGAGACATGCCCCTGTGCCACCACACATTTCCCATTTGATGCCTACCACTAGGCCCAGGGACACAACACACTCCAGTGTAACTCCCACTTGCAAGTGGAAGTCTTTTTTCACCAAAATCATTCTATAAAGCTTAGAAGAGGTGATTGCTTCTTCAAATGCACAAACACCTCCACAAACCCATAAGGATCAGGGAGAGGGAAACATGATTCCACCGAAGGAATACTGTGAACCTCCAGTAACGGAAACCAAATAAATGGAGATAAAAGAATTACCTAACAAATAATTCAAAATAATTGTTCTCAAATGCTCAGAAAGCTCTAAGAGAATAGAGATAAACAATTGACAATATCAGGAAAGAAAAAATACAAGAAACAAAAACAAAGCAAAACCAATATCAGGAAAACAATACAATAACAATATAAGAAGTTCAATAAGGAGATATAAAACATAATAAGGAACCAGAAATATTAGCACTGAGGAATACAATGACTGAACTAAAGAATTCAGTAGACAGCTTCCAAATCAGTTTTGAACAAACAGAAGAAAAAAAATCAGTGAACACAAAGACAGACCAGTTGAAATTTTCCAACTGGAGGAAAAAATAAAAGAATGAAAAATAGTAAAGAACAAATGACCTATGGTATACCAAGAAAAGAACCAATTTGCAAATTATCAGAATTTCACGATAAGAGAGAGAAGGGGCCAGAAGTCTTATTTAAAGAAATAATGATGAGCTGGGAGTTAAGATGGCAGGCAGAGCAGTGGGGGGACCATATGCTTGCCTCATCCCTCAAGCACAGCTAGATAAATATCAAATCATTCCAAACACCCAAGAAATTGATCTGAATGCTGAGAAAACAAACTGCAGAATGAGAGGGAGAAAAGAAGCCACATCATGTAAGACAGTAGCTGCAGAGGTGTGATTCCAGGGAGAAAATAATCTCAGGTGCTGTGGAGGGGAGGGAGACTTGATCTCAGAGAGAGGAGAGAGAGATAGAGAAACAGAGAGAAAGCAGTGCACATGTGGTTGCACAAGAGAAACACTTCCCCAAAACCATTGCCTCAGCAAACTAGAGGGGCTGATTATCCCAAGTTATTACAAAAAGCAGAGATCAAAGTCTGAAGTTGTGGAAGTCCATGCTTCCACAATTATTACTCTTACTATACTCTTACTATTACTATTACTATACTCTTACTATTACTCTTACTATATTACTCTTACACTGCTGGGTGGAGTCTGGTGGGCATAGAGGTTCTCCTATGGGGAGGGAACCAGAGACCCAAGAGCAGACAGTGTGGACTGAGGATCCCCTGAGACACAATTCGAGAGATAGGTCCCCTTCTTGGAGTGCATTTGGGAGAGGTGGTATGGTCTCTAATGGAACAAAAGAGATGGAGGGGGCCAAAATGCTGTCCTGTTCATTAGTATAGGAACAGAGACACCTGATAAGGGCAGCAAACCTTCGTGCCAGCTCCTTTCTACACTTTATCATAGACTCTGATACTCTGTAATTCCTGCAACTGCTTTTCTAGGACAAACAGGTACCTGCCACAGCATGGAAAGATCCTCCCACTGAGCATCAGCATGAGTCCATGCTGCCCTGGGTTCTGAAAATTTGGAGTTTTGAAACCTAGCCACATGCCTGAGACAAAACACAGAAATACTGTGGAAAGATCTATTGCTAGCTGATTTGTCTTCCCTTGCAGATTAAGGATTTCTTTTCTCTTGCTGCTTTCAGGATTCCTTCCTTATCTCTATATTTTGCAAATTTTACTATGATATGTCTTGGTGTTGGCTGGCTTTTGTTGATATTGATGAGAGTCTTCCAGGTGCCTCCTGGATTTGGGATGATTTCCTTTCCCAGATTAGGGAAGTTTTCAGCTATAATTCACTCAAATAGGCCTTCTGCCCCTTTTCCCCTCTGTTTTTCTTCTGGGATTCCTATGATATTGTTACAGAATTGCAGGGTTCTTGTCTCATGGAGCCAAAGAATGAATCTCCCTGACACAAAAGGGTGAAGTGAAGTGAAAGTTTATTAAGTGAAGGCAAGAACAGAAAGGAAAGAAAAAAGCTCTTAGGGTGTAAGGGGTCCCAAATGGATTGCCACTGAGGGTTTTTAATGGCAGCCTTTTACTGAGAACTGACTGGGAAGCTTGTCACTTTGAGATTCTTGTGCTGTCTTGGCTTATTCCCTTATCTCTTTTTCTGCTCTCAGTATCTCCATCTGCCAGGAATAGGTTTCAGAGCCCTGTCAGAGGAGTCAGGGGCCTCCTATCTCTCCTGCCTATACTAGGGTACCCAACTCATGGGACAAGACCTGTGGGCAGAAAGAGCTATACTGGGATTGTAAGGAGTGACTGATTGCATACTTTTTAATTAGTGGGGGTTAGGGATAGCACAAGTCTCCAAGGAATCTGGAAACAAGGCTTTCAGGACCTGAGGGGCCAGCTGCTGCCAAGATAAGATTACTTTTAAACATTAAGGCACTAAGGAAGCCATGAATTCCTTGAGGAAGGTCATGCTCTACATGTTTCAGGGGGTTGCAAGCTGTAAGGAGATTTTAATTTAAGCTACATTTCTTTTGCCTTTGTTTCCCACATCAATATGAATGTTATTACCACTTTATGGAGTCACTGAGTTCCCTAAGTCTACATTCGTGATCCAATAGTTTTCTTTCCCTCTTCTTTTCAGCCTTCATGATTTTCCATAATTTTATCTTCTATATCACTGATTTATTCCTCTGCTTCTTCCATCCTCATTGACATTACATCCAGTCAGTTTTGGATCTCAGTTATAGCATGTTTTCTTTTGGCCTTATTAATTTTTAGTTCTTTTATCTCTGAAGAAAGGAACTTGCTATTGTCTTCTATGCTTTTCTCAAGCCCACCTAGTATCCTTATGATTGGTGTTTTAAATTCTAGTTCAGACATATTACTTATATTTGTTCTGATTAGATCCCTGGTTGTGACCTCTTCCTGTTCTTTATTTTGGTATGAATTCTTCCATCTTGGTATTTTGCCAAGACCTCTGTCTACTGTGTTTTAGGGAAACCTGTTACATTTCCTGCTGCTGAAAGTAATGGCTATATTAAGAAGAGGCCTATACTGTCCAGGGCCTGGTACTTCAGGAATTAGTTCACAGTGGGCACTCTGTTGTTGTATTTTGGCTGCTCTTTCCCCCAGATCAGTCCTCTGCAGTGTTTCTCCTTGCCTGCAAAGTGGAGTGTTTGGACCTGGTCTAGTGTGTGGTAAGTTTTAACTAGGTGTATTGGTCTACTTGTTACAAAAGGCTTGATCGTATTTCCCTCAGAGCTGAAACTTTGCAGCATTCTATGATCAGTAGAGTTGGTGCATGCATGGGGTTTGTGCTGGTCTTCTGGGGGATGGGACTGCTGAGATGGTTTGGCTTGCCCTTGTAAAGATAAAGACATACCTGCAGGGTGCAGTGGGGTGGGGCTTGGTGTAAGCCACACTAGCTTCCACTGGGGGCACTGTGCTGCTCACTGAAGTCTGTCCATGCTGATGGGCAGGGGAAAATGGTGTCACCCCACTCTGTCATCCCTGGAGAGGGAAGTTCATGCCTGCCACTGTTCAGGAAGCCCTCATGGAGGAGTGAACAATCTCCCCTCTTGTGTCCTGGACTTCTGTGAGCAGCACGGTGCCCCCAGTGGAAGCTAGTGTGGCTTACACCAAGCCCCACCCCACTGTACCCTGTTTTCATAACCCTGTCTTCACACTGTCTGTGTCTAAGCCATCTGTCTGCCTGGTGGCACAGTACTCCTGTGGTCTGCAGATGGGTTTCAAAGCTCCAAATTTTATGGACCTGGCACACTGAAGACCCATGCTGATCCTCTGGGGGAGGGTCTTACCACACTGTGGCTGATGCCAGTTTGTCCCAGAAAATTAGTTGCATGACTGCACAGGGCTAGGAGTTTATGGTAAAGTGTAGCCAAAAGCTGGCTTCCAGGTTAGCTGCCTTCAGTGGTGCCTCTGTTCTGTTAATTAATGGGGCTGCTCAATGGCACCCACCTTCTCTTTTGTCCCCTGAGAGGCAGAGTTACAAGAAGGGGAACTTTTTCTCCCCGTGCAACCCAGGGGATCTTCAGACCACATTGTCTTCTCCCAGGCCTCTGCTCTCCTTCCCAACATGAGGAAGCCCACCAGGCACAACACTGGTGATGGTGCAGGCTTCTAAAACTTCAGACTTTGAGAGCCATTGCTTATAAGAACTTGCAATAGTCAGCCCCTCTCCTTTTCCCAGTCAGTGGTTTTGGGGAAAAGTTTTTCTTGTGCAATCTTCTGCATGTTGCTCTCTCGCTCTCTCTCTTTCTCCTTTGTGATCAGGGATCCCTTCCCTCCACAGCACCTGTAATTCTTTTCTCTGCCAAATCAACAGTCTGCAGCTCCTACCTTCCACAATGTGTCCATTTTTCTCCCTCTAGATGTGTAGTTTGTTCTCTCAGTCCTCAGATCAATTTCTTGGGCATTCAAAATGATTTGATATTTATTGTGCTGTGTTCGAGGGACGAGGCAAGCATAGGGACCGCCTACTACTCTTCTTTTTAAAATTCAATTAGTTTTTGATATAATGTTCAATGATTCATTAGTTGAATATAACACCTAGTGTTCATCATATATTACTCTTAACTCCTGTTTTCCTTTTTCAAGATTGCTTTGGCTTTTCTGGGTCTTTGTATTTCCACACAAGTTTTAGGATAGTTTGTTCCAGTTCTATGAAAAATACTGTTGGCAGAGACAGAGATGGCGGCTCAGGGGCAACGAGGCTGCAGTGGTGGTGGTGGGACGATGTCAGGTGAGGACGAGCAGCAGGAGCAAACTATCGCCGAGGACCTGGTCATGACCAAGTATAAGATGGGGGGTGACATCGCCAACCGGGTACTTCGGCCTTTGGTGGAAGCATCCTGCTCAGGTGTGTTGGCACTGAGCCTGTGTGAGAAAGGTGATGCCATGATTATAGAAGAGACAGGGAAATTTTTCAAGAAAGAAAAAGAAATGAAGAAAGTTATTGCCTTTCCCACCAGCATTTCAGTAAATAATTGTGTATGTCACTTCTCCCCTTTGAAGAGCAACCAGGACTATATTCTCAAGGAAGGTGACTTGGTACAAATTGACTTTGGGGTCCATGTGGATGGCTTCATCGCTAATGTGGCTCACGCTTTCATGGTTGATGTAGCTCAGGGGACCCAAGAAACAGGGCAGAAAGCAGATGTCATTAAGGCAGCTCACCTTTGTGCTGAAGCTGCCCTATGCCTGGTCAAACCTGGAAACCAGAACACACAAGTGACAGAAGCCTGGAACAAAGTTTCCCACTCGTTTAATTGCACACCAATAGAATGCATGTTGTCACATCAATTGAAGCAGCATGTCATCGATGGAGAGAAAACCATTATCCAGAATCCCACAGACCAGCAGAATAAGGGCCATGAAAAAGCTGAATTTGAAGTACATGAAGTATATGCTGTGCATGTTCTTATCAGCTGAGGAGAGGGCAAGGCCAAGGATGCAGGAGAGAGAACCACCATTTACAAATAAGACTCTTCTAAACAGTATGTCCTGAAAACAAAAACTTCGCATGCCTTCTTTAGTGAAGTTGAAAGGCGTTTTGATGCCATGCCATTTATTTTAAGAGCATTTGAAGATGAGAAGAAGGTCCAGATGGGTGTGGTGGAGTGCACCAAACATGAACTGCAGCAGCCATTTAATGTTCTCTATGAGAAGGAGAGTGAATTTGTTGCCCAGTTTAAATTTACAGTCCTGCTCATGCCCAATGGCCCCACGTGGATAACCAGTGGTCCCTTTGAACCTGACCTCTACAAGTCTGAGATGGAGGTCCAGGATGGAGAGCTGAAGGCCCTCCTCCAGAGTTCTGCAAGTCTGAAAACCCAGAAAAAGAAAAAAAAAGGAAGGCCTCCAAGACTGCAGAGAATGCCACCAGTAGGGAAACATTAGAAGAGAATGAAGCTGGGGACTGAGGTAGGTCCCATCTCCCCAGCTTGCTGCTCCTGCCTCATGCCCCTCCCACCACACCCCAGGCTCTGTGAAGTGCAGTTCGTCTTCTCCACCCAAGACTGCCAACAGAGCAGGGTCTCCCTGCCCCCATCCCTGTCCCCACCCAACCCCTTCCAACAACAACCAGCTCCAACTGACTCTGGTCTTGGGAGGCCAGGCTTCCTAGCCACTGAAGGCTACTTTAAATAGAAAAGAGAAATTGAATAATAAAATCAGGAGTCAAAAAAAAAAAAAAAGAAAAAAGAAAAGAAGAATACTGTTGGCATTTTGATAGGGATTGCGTTAAATGTGTAGATTTCTTTGGGTAGTACAGACATTTTAAGAATACTCATTCTTCCACCCCTGAGTATGAAATGTTTTTCCATTTCTTTTCATCATCTTGAATTTCTTCCAATGGTGTTTTATAGCTTTCAGACTACAGGTCTTTCACCTCCTTGGTAAGTTTATTCCTAGATTGTTTACTGGTCTTAGTGCAATTGTAAATATGATTGTTTTCTTAATTTCACTTTCTGCTACTTATTATTAGTGTGTAGTAATGCAACAGATTTTTGCACATTGATTTTTTATCCTGCAACTTTACTAAATTCATTTATCAGACCACTATATAATAACAAAGGGGACAGATAAGAAAATATAATGGTTGTAAATATTAATTCACCAAACACTGGAGCACCCAAATATATTAAAAAGTTAATAATAAACATAAAGGAAATAATAAATTGTAATACAATAATAGTAGGAGACTTTAACACCTCACTTATTTGCATGGTCATATCATTCAAACAGAAAATCAACAAGGAAACATGGCTTTGAATGACACAGTGGACCAGATGGATTTTACAGACATATTCTGAACATTCCATCCTAAAACACCAGAATACACATTCTTTTCAAGTGCACATGGAACATTCTGCAGATTAGATCCCCTCCTAGTCCACAAAAAATGTCTCAACAAATTAAAAAAAAAAAAATGAAGCGTGCAATCTTCCAGCCACAACACTACGGACTTAGAAATCAACCACACTAAAAATCTGGAAACACCACAAATACATGGAGGTTAAATAACATGCTACTAAACAATGAATGGGTCAACCCAGAAATCACAGAAGAAATAAAAATTACATGGAAACAAATAAAAATGAAAACACAACAGTCAAAATCTGTGGGATGCAGCAAAAGTGGATCCAAGAAGAAAGTTTATAGCAATATAGGCTTATCCCAAGAAGCGAGAAAGATCTCACATAAAAAACCTTACCTTAAACCTAATGGAGTTAGAGAAAGAACAAACAAAATCCAAGCCCAGCAAAATGAAGGAAATAATAAAGTTTAGAGTAGAAATAAATGATATAGAAACTAAAAATACAATAGAACAGATTAACAATAATACCAGGAGCTGTTTCTTTGAAAAGATCAACAAAATTGATATCTTTTGGCCAAATTCATCAAAAATTTTTTTAAAAATGGAGAGACCCAAGATAAACAAAATCCCAAATGAAAGGGGTGAAATAACAACCAACATCACAGAAGTATAAATGGTTGTAACAGAATATTATGAAAACCTAAATGCCAACAAATTGGACAACTTAGAAGACATGGATAAATTCTTAGAAACATATAACCTATCAAAACTTAAGTAGGAAGAAATAGAAAATTTAAGCAGACCAATTACCAGCAAATAAATTGAATCAGTAATAAGAAAACTTCCAACAAACAAAATTTCAGGGCCAGATGGCTTCACAGGTGAATTCTATCAAATATTTGAAGAAGAATTAATACCTATTCTTCTCAAACTATTCCTTTTAAAAAAATTAAAAAGGAAGGAAAACTTCCAAATTCCTTCTATGAAGCTAATATTACACTGATACTAAAACCAGATAAGACACATGAAAAAAAGAACTATAGGCCATTATCTCTGATAAACATAGGTGCAAAAATCCTCAACAAAATACTAGCAAACTGAATACATTAAGACAATGTAATGAATACATTAAGAAAAATCATTCACCAAAATTAAGTGGGATGCATCCGCAAAAATGCAAGGTTGTTCAATATTTGCAAAACAGTCAACGTTTTTGCATCAATAAGAGAAAAGATAAAAACTGTATGATCCTTTCAATAAATGCAGAAAATTAACAAGACAGGAAACAACAAATGTTGGTGAGGATGTGGAGAAAGGGGAACCCTCTTACACTGTTTTTGGGAATGCAACCTGGTACAGGCACTCTGGAAAACAGTATGGAGGTTCCTCAAGACATTAAAAATAGAGCTACCCTATGATGCAGCAATTGCACTATTGGGTATTTAGCCCAAAGATACAAATGTAGTGATCCAAAGGGCACCCGGACCCCAAAGTTCATAGCAGCAATGTCCACAATAGCCAAACTGTGGAAGTAGCTAAGATGTCCTTCAACGGATGAATGGATAAAGAAGATCTGGTTCATATATACAATGGAATATTACTCAGCCATCAGAAAGATGAATATATACTATTTACATTGACTTGGATGGAACTGGAGGGGATTATGCTAAGTGAAATAAGTCAAGCAGAGAAAGACAATTATCATATGGTTTCACTCATATGTGGAACATAAGGAATATTGCAGAGGACAGCAGGCTAGGGAGGGGAAACTGAATGGGAAGAAATCAAAGAGAGAGACAAACCATATGAGACTCTTGACTCCGGGAAACAAACTTAAGGTTGTGGAAAGGGAGGTGGGTTGGGGGATGGTGTAACTGGGTGAAGGGCACTAAAGAGGGCACGTGATATGATGAGCAATGTTTGATATACTCAACTAATGAATCACTGAACATTGTATCAAAAACTAATGATGTACTATACCTTGGCTAATTGAATTTTTTTAAAAAGTATAAAACTATTACAGTTAAAAAAAGAAAAATTGTTCCAGAAGAAAAAGCTCTAGATATAATAGAAGATATCTTTTGAAGTAATTTATCCAAATCCATCAAATTTCATCATAGCCACTAAAATACTCTCAATAGCTGTACTTGTGTTTTCACCAACAAAAAAAATCCTCTCAAAATCATCAATTAAAATTATTTGTGATCTTACATTTGTCAAATTGACAAACATTACTTTGCTGTTATGATTTAAAAAATAAAGTTGTCCAACAGATGAATGGATAAAGAAGATGTGGTTAATATATATAGTGGAATATTACTCAGCCATCAGAAAGGATGAATACCTACAATTTATATCAACATGGATGGAACTGGAGGGGATTATGCTAAGTGAAACAAGTCAATCAGAGAAAGATAATTATTGTATGGTTTCACTCATATGTGGAATATAAGAAATATAAGGATCATAAGGGAAGGGAAGGAAAACTGAATGGGAAGAAATCAGATATGACAAACCATATGAGACTCTTGATTCTGAGAAAGAAACTGACGGTTGTAAAAGGGGAGGTGGTGGGAGGGATAAGGTAACAGGGTGATGGGCATTAAGGAGGGCATGTGTGATGTGATGAGCACTGTTATGTGAACCGATAAATCATTGAACACTACATCAGAAACTAATGATGTAGTATATGTTGGCCAATTGAAAATAAATTTAAAAAAATAAAAATAATATTGTTAAAAGTAAAAAAAAAGAAGAAAAAAGCATTTGACAAAGTACAACATTGATTCATGATAAAAAATACTCTGCAAAGTAGGTCTAGAGGGACATACCTCAAATAATAAAGGTCTTATATGAAAAAATCCATAGCCCACCTCATATTCAGTGGTGAAAAACTGAGATCTTTTCTCCTAAGGTCTGGAATAAGGAAAAGATCCACTCCCATCACTTTTTTCCCCCTCTCTTGTCGCTTTTAAGGTTCTCTGTTTACCTATAAACTTTGACATGTTAAATATTATGTACCATGGTGTGGACCTCCTTAAGTTTATCTTGTTTGGAACTCTGTGCTTCTTTTACTTGGATGTTTATTTCCTTCCCTATGATATGAAAGGTTTCAGTTATTATTTCTTCATATAAGTTTTTTCTGCCTTTCCCTCTTCTCCTGGGCCACTATAATGCAAATGTTTGTTCACTTGATGTTGTACAAGAGGTCGCTTAATCATCCTCATTTTTATAAAATTTAAATTCAATTAGCCAACCTATAGTACCTCATTGTTTCAGATGTAGTGTTCAATAATTCATCAGTTGCGTATAACACCCAGTGTTCAACACATCATGAGCCCTCCTTAATGCCCATCACCCAGTTGCCCATTCCCCAACCCACCTCCCCTTCTGCAACCCTCAGTTTGTTTCCCAGAATCAAGAGTCTCATATGGTTTGTCTCCATATCTGATTCTTTCACATTCAGTGATCCCTCCCTTCCCCTATGATCCCCTGCACTATTCCTTATGTTTCACATATGAGTGAAACCATACAATAATTGTCTTTCTCTGCTTGACTTATTTCACTTAGTATAATGCCCTCCAGTTCCATCCATGTCAATGCAAATGATAGGTATTCATCCTTTCTGATGGCTGAGTAATATTCCGTTGTATATATGAACCACATCTTCTTTATCCATTCATCTGTTGAAGGGCATCTAGGCTCCTTCCACAGTTTGGCTATTGTGGACATTGCTGCTATGAACTTTGGGGTGCATCTGCCCCTTCTTTTCACTACATCTGTATCTCTAGGTAAATACCTAGTAGTGCAATTGCTGGGTTGTAAAGTAGCTCTATTTTTAACATCTTGAGGAACCTCTATATTGTTTTCCAGAGTGGCTATACCAGCTTGCATTCCCACCAACAGTGTAAGACCATTCTTTCTCCACATCCTTGCCAACATTTGTTGTTTCCTGTCTTGTTAATTCTAGCCATTCTTACTGGTGTAAGGTGGTATCTAATTGTGGTTTTGATTTGGATTTCCCTGATGACAAGTGATACAGAACATTTTTTCATGTGCCTGTTGGCCATCTGTATGTCTTCTTTGGAGAAGTGTCTGTTCATGTCTTCTGCCCATTTGTTGACTGGATTATTTGTTTTTTGGGTGTTGAGTTTGATAAGTTCTTTACAGATCTTGGATATCAGCCTTTTATCTGATATGTCTTTTGCAAACATTTTCTTCCATTCCATAGGTTACCTTTTAGCTTTGTTGACTGTTTCCTTTGCTGTGCAGAAGCTTTTTATCTTAATGAAGTCCCAGTAGTTCATTTTTGCATTTGTCTCCCTTGCCTTTAGAGACCTGTCTTTCAAGAAGCTGCTGCGG